CATCAGTGATTTTTTGTCCACATAACTTTAGTTTGGATGTTATTTGGAACATAACAGAATTATAGTCACTGATAGATTTAAAATCCTGGAATCTTAGATTGATCCAGTCATACTGAGCTTTTGGTAAAAATACCTTTTGTTGGTGGTCATACCTCTCCTGTAAATTGTCCCATAATTCTTTTGGGTCACCAACCAAAAGATATTCCGATTTGAGACTTTCATGGAGATGGTGACGGAGGAAAATAATAGCTTTCGCTTTATCTTGAGAAGATGATAGATTATTGACTTCAATTGTTTCTTCCAAACCATTAGCCTTAAGATGTGCTAGAGCATCGACTTTCCATTCCAAATATTTTTGATCAGACAGATCAAGAACGCCGAATTCTCTTTTGCTTATATTTGCCTTGATAATACAAAAATTATTGAGTTACATTAAATTAATACATATATACTCGTTTATATATACAGTATTTGTTATCTATTAATAGTGATAGAAACTGCCCCAGGACCAAAGAGACGCCATCCTCCTCGTCCTACGGTCATACGCCGTTGTCTTCGCGTGGGGCCCGGACGATATGCCGGGCATCAGCCGCCAGGTGATCACTCACCGGCTGACCGTCGACTCGACCTCCGCGCCCGTCAAACAGGAGCGGCGCTACTTGTCCGCCGACAGGCGGGACTTCGTCAAAGGGGAGGTCGCCATGCTCCTCTCAATCAAACACATTAAGGAGGTGAAGTACCCGACGTGGTTGGCCAACGTCGTCCTCGCCCAGAAGCCGCCGACGTTCAGAATGTGTGTTGATTACACTGACCTGAACAAGGCGTGCCCCATGGACCCGTTCCCTCTCCCCAACATTGATCAGCTGGTGGACGAGACAGCGGGGTGCGAGTTGATGTCGTTCCTCGACGCCTTCAGAGGGTACCACCAGATCTCCATGCATGAAGATGACGCTGAGAAGACGACATTCATGACCCCAGAGGGAATCTTTTGCTACCTCGTCATGGCCTTCGAACTCAAAAACTCCGGCGCCACCTACACTAGGATGGTGGCCAAAATCTTCAGAGCGGTCCTTGGTCGGACGATGGAGGCGTATGTCGATGACATGATCGTCAAAAGTAGGCAGGCCTCCTCCCACGCCGACGACCTCCGGGAAATCTTTGAAATCATGAAGGAGTTCAGGCTCCGGCTCAACCCCAAGAAGTGCGCCTTCGGCGTCCAGGGTGGCAACTTCCTCGGCTACATGGTCAGCCGGAGAGGCATCGAGATAAACCCGGAGAAGACGCAGGCCATCATCAACATGGAGCCGCCCCGCAACGTCAAGGAGGTACAGCGACTGACGGGGCGCCTGGCGGCCTTAAACCGGTTCCTCTCCAGGTCAGCCGAGAGGGCACTCCCCTTCTTCCAGATCATGCGTAAGGCAAACAGCTTCAAGTGGACAACGGAGTGCCAGGAAGCATTCGACGAATTGAAGAGGTACCTGTCGTCCCCACCCGTGCTCTCCAAGCCCAAAGCCGGCGAAACCCTCTTCTTGTACTTAGGGGTGAGCACGTCGGCCATCAGCTCCGTGCTCATCCGTGAGGACGAAGGGGTGCAGAAGGCCATCTTCTACATCAGCAAGACACTCAGGGAGGCCGAGCTCAGGTACTCCCCCATTGAGAAGACGGTGCTGGCCATCGTCCACACAGTGAAGAAGCTGGGGCACTATTTCCAAGCCCACACCGTCCATGTGCTGACCCAGCAGCCTCTTGGCGCACTCATGAGGAGCCCCACAAGCTCCTCGAGGATGGTGAAATGGGCGATCTTCCTCAGCCAGTTTCAGATTGAGATCAAGCCAAGGCCATCCATCAAAGGGCAAGCCTTGGCCGACTTCGTCATTGAATGCACAGCAAGGGAGACGGCCGTCGCCAACCCCGGGCCGGAGCCGGACGATACGTGGACCCTGTTCACTGACGGCTCGTCGGCTGCGAAATCATGCGGCGGCGGCGGCGTCCTCATATCCCCTGAAGGGTTCAGAGCTTACTATGCCATCCGCTTCAACTTCAGGGTATCCAACAACGAAGCCGAGTATGAGCCCCTCCTCAGCGGCCTCAGACTCGCCGCCGGCCTCAAGGCCAAGCACCTCAAAATCAAGTGCGACTCCAAACTGGTAGTGGGCCAGGTGGAGGGATCGTACGAAGCAAAGGAAGGCCGGATGAAGCAGTACAAACAAGCGGCGGAGGAATTGCTGAAAGCGTTTGAAACCCACGAGATCACTCAGATCCCAAGGGCCGAGAACGCCGAAGCCGACATCCTCTCCAAGCTCAGCTCGAACACCCCGGAGCACATCTCCCAGTTGGCCAAGATCGAGGAGTTGAGCATGTCCAGCATCCATGCCAGCCTCGTCTTGTGCGTCCAACAACGACCAGAGGACTGGATCTCCGACATCGCCACCTTCATCACAACGGGGGAGCTGCCCCCGGACGAGGAGAGGGCCAAACTTGCCAAACTCAGGGCCCCAAGCTACACCATCGAAGATGGCAAACTCTACAAACGGTCCTATAATGGCACCCTCCTCCGATGCCTGCACTAGGACGAGGCCGACATAGCCATGGAAGAAGTTCATTGTGGCGTCTGCTCCTCACACCAGGGCCCTTTCAGCATGTCCCGGCGTCTCGTCGTCCAGGGCTTCTTCTGGCCGACGATGGCACGCGACTGCGCTGACCTGGCCAGGAAGTGCACCACCTGCCAGGTGCTCCAGAAGGCCCCTGGTCGGCCAGCTGTCAACTATGCCCCTATCAGCACCGCAATTCCATTCTCCAGATGGGGGATTGACCTGGTCGGCCCCCTACCCAGAGCCGCCGGGAATAACCGCTACATCATCGTCGCCGTCGACTACTTCACCAAGTGGGTCGAGGCGGAACCCTTGGCCAACATCACGGGGGCCAGATGCCAAAAATTCGTTTACAAGAACATCATCACACGCTTTGGCGTCCCCCAGGAGATTATATCAGACAACGGCACCCAATTCGAGGCAGCCCCTTTTCAAGAACTCCTCCGGGAGTTTGGGGTAAAGCATCGTTTCTCCTCCGTTGCCTACCCTCAGGGCAATGGGCAGGTCGAGAACGCCAACAGAACAATCATGGAGGGGCTGAAGAAGAAACTCCAGGCCGCAGGAGGTAGTTGGGTCGACGAGCTCCCCAACATCCTGTGGTGCTACAGAACCACGCCGAGGAGGGCGACAGGTGAAACGCCTTTAGCCCTGTGCTACGGCTTTGAAGCAAAGGCGCCCACGGAAGTTGCCATCCCCAGCCGACGGGTGGAACAATATGAGCCTGACACCAACGAAGAGAACATGAAGATTGACCTACACCTGGTTGATGAGAGGCGTGAACAAGCTTACGTCCGAGCAGAGAACTACCGGCGTCAAGTAAAATCATACTATGACGCCAAGGTACGTTCCCGGGAATTTCAGGTGGGGGACTACGTCCTCCGCCGAAGGGAAGCAAGCCAGCCGACAGAGGGTGGCAAGCTAGCATTGAAGTACGAAGGGCCCTACATCGTCAGTGCCGTGGTCAAACCCGGCACCTACAAGCTTAAACGCCCGAATGGGTCCAATGTACCACGAACGTGGAATGTACACCATCTGGTGAAGTTTTATTAGTGATCCGAAGGAGGTGCAGACGGCGAAGCCCTCACCCCTTGACGGGTTACTGATTGAACGCCACCCTCGGCCTCGAGCCACTTATGAATAAAATCATGTTCTGATTTTTTCTCTGGAATTTAAAGTAAAACATTAGCGGGTGCCCCCGTCGGCCACCTTAGAGCGAAAGGCTCAGGCATGGCCGACGAGGCCCCTTGCATTTGAAGCCTACGAGCAACAAGGTCAGGCGCTCCATTGTATTTTGTATTAGCGAAGGGCTCAGGCCTAGCTGAGAGAGCACATCGTCCTGGCCCTGTAAGCCTAGAAGTGAAACGCTCAGGTATGGCCGACGATGTCCCCAGGACGAGGGGCCCGCAAACGGCCCACGTCTTGAAACGGGAAGCTCACCGCGTCGTCCACGCGCCAGATCGCAGGACGACAAGCCTGAAATCATGGCCGAGGTGACAAAATCCCAAAACTCAGGGATGGGCAACGACAGCCGTTGGAAACCGACCAAAAGTCTAGCCCGCGTCATAAATAGACGACGGGACTCGCCCTGAGATCACGGACGTTATAAACGAAGTCCGAACCGGCTGAAGGACGAGCACACCCTTCGGCCGAAGCCTGAAAGAAGGATACCCCCGAAACGAAAAAAATAATAATAATAATATAAGGGAAAAAGAGGGAAGCCGACGGCCGCGCACACTAGCCGGCCTCGAGCAATGAAAAAATAAAATCCCCACAACTCAGGCCCAACTAGGCCAAGTACATATAAGTTGAACACAAGTGTAGTACCACTGACAGGTAACATGGACGACACGTCCACACACTACAAGGGAATAATGAAGGCCGAAACACACGCCTATAAAACCCTAACCGCATCGGTTGGGTGACACGCGAGAGGTGACCTTCATCGGCCATAGTCCTTTGAGGCACCAACGCTTGGTATGAAACAAAGCATCGCAATCCTGAGGATAACCAGGACGAAGCGGGCACTTATCACACCCGCGAAAGGATCAAGCAATCAAGAAACAACCTCTACTAGCCACAGCATCTCGGATGGCCGACGCAGGCACTGGAACCAAGGCTGTTGGTCAAGCGAAAGTTCTTTGAGAATTCGTTTAAGTGTTTCCCAAACACTTAGAAAAAATCCTGAGAAAAGAGAGGGTTCCTCAACAAGGAACCATGGCTAGCCGACGAAGGTAGGACCATCTCCTTGGACAAGCCATTCCTTATCCAGCACCCTCATCGGCCACAAGCCAGACCTTGGCCGACAGCGGCACCGCAAAGAAGTAAATGCCTAACATTTATACTTAGAAAATTATCTAAGTACTCAAATGAAGGAACTCTAGCCGAAGCGGGTACCAGTATACTCCAAAGCCGTTATCTACCCACACCTCTGCATGTGTACTTAGAAAAATTCTAAGTTCAAAACGATCAAGGTTAAGATGCCCTTATCGGCCACAACACAAAGGATACAGGCCGACAATGACACTGGCTCAAACACTTGGGACATCTCCCAGAGCATTTGTCAAAAATGATGAATCCAAGGCCCGGACGGAGCGGACACCACGGTCAAGGCTGAAAAGGGAAGCACCTAAAGGGATCCAAAACACTTAGGAAATTTTTGAAAAAAAAATCCTAAGTGTTATGGTAGCCAAGAACCACCGGCCAAGCCGACAAGGCCACCAGGCCACAAGGAAGCAACTGTAAGAACCCAAAAACACTTAGGAAATTTTTCGAAAGGATCCTAAGTGTTATGATACTACATCAACACGGTCATGCCAACCAAGCCATCAGACCGGGAAGAAGGCATCCAAGTGAACCCAAAACACTTAGGAAATTTTCTGAAAAAATCCTAAGTGTTATGGTAGTAAAGCAACGACGAACAAGCCGACCAGGCCACCGGACAGGGTGGATGACCTCACGGACGTAGCGGACACTCCCGGGTCACCCAAGTTATGACCTTGACACTTAGACAAATTTCGGAATTGAAATAACAAATAGCAAACAAGCATGCAAGGAATTCAAAGCCGATCAGGACAGCAAAATATTTTCATATATATTGAATTCAGTACAAAGGTGGGCTCTTCGGGCGTTACATCATTTGGGCAAAAATGAAAACTAACTACAAAGGAGTAGCCGATCAAGCCTCTGGAGCACCTCCATCTGCGGCTGGCTCTTCGGCCTCGTCTGCTCCCTCTTCGGCCTCAGCCTCCTGGCCGGCGGTGGCTGCAGCACTTGTGGCATCGTCCAAAAAATCAAACTCGGTGTAATCCGGCTCGCCAAGGCCGGAGCTTTCAATTGGGGACTCCCGCTCCGACAACGGAAGCTTTGCCTGCTCTTCTGGATCCTTCATCAGCTTCGGCAGCTTCAGGTTCCGTCTAGCCCACCCAGACGTATAGTTCATGGCTTTCAAAGCACGAGAGAGCCGCCGACACAGGAGCCTTTGCATCTGCTCCTGGCCCAGGTTATAATACACGGACATCTCTCGGCTGAAATACTCCTGGCCGGCAGGGGAGTTCATCCCCCAACTCTCAAGCCTGGCGGCCACCACCTCGTAGCACCAGGGGAGCCTCTCATCGGCCTTCCACCCCTCGGCCAGGAACTTCTCGACGGCCTCGTCAGCAGCCCTCACGACGGCGGCCTCGGCCTCCGCCTTCGCCTTGACGGCCTCCTCGCTCTTGCGCCGCTCGGCCTCCAGGGCCCTTTGGGACTCCTCGAGCTCCCTTTTGCTCTCCTCGAGCTTGGCCAGGGCATCGTCCCTGGCTGCGGCGGCTTCATCGGCCCTGGCCTGCAACGCCCTGGCATCCTCCCGGAGCCGGTCCAGGCAAGCTACCGCCTCGTCGGCCGAGGCGGCCTTCTGCTCCAGCTCCTTCAAGCGAGCTATCTCTCGGTATTGCCTCTTGTGGCTCTCCATAAGCATGAAGGCACTCTGCTGAAACAAGGGAAACAAAAGTCAGGCAAATGGTTCTACACGGACGACGAGAAAAAACAACACTTACAAAGGACAGTAACTTACTTGGACGAGGAGGTCCATGCCGCCCTCGTAAATCTTAACGTCCCCGAGCTTCTTCAAGTAAGCCCGATCTTTGGCCGGCATGGCCTGGGCCAGGACGTCGTGGCCCAGGACAACATCATCAAACACACCCCCGCCGACGGGGTATTCTACCATCTTCTGGTAGGTGGCACCGGCTATCTCCTTGCCTGCCCTCTTCGTCCTCGGTTCCTGGACGAGAGGAAGCGACGGGGCAGCATCACCAGCAACAGTCAGGTCCACGACGGGACCACCATCGTCCACGCTGGGAACAGCCAGAGTACCGGCCTCGGTAGCCGGGGAAGGAGAAGGTGCCCTTTTCGTCTTCTTGGAGACATTCAGGCCGGCCTCAGTTAATTTCTTCTGGCCGTCAGCGGCCGGCCTTTTCTTCTTCGATGGAGCAGGCTTTGGGGCCGCATCAGCAGTAGCCCCGCTCCCACCGGCCGCGGCACGTCTGGCCGCCTCGGCCGCCTTAGCAGCCAGCTCCTCGGCCGCTTTGGCCTTGGCAATAGCCATTATGGAACGTCGGTCCATGGCAAAATCTACAAAGGAAAAACACAATGGATTAGTAAGGCAAAGGAACAAAACATAAAGACAGAAAGCCGAAGAAATAATTACCATCGGCCTCAGCAGGGATGCCCAAATCCGGGCCGTCGGCCTCTTCAAATGTGGTGGTCATCCTCGGCCAGAGTTGGAGGTCATCCTCCTTATCTCCATACAGGTGGTATCTGAAGAAGCCGAGGGCGGTCATCTTGTATTCAGTAACGTAATCCTTCACGCTCCTCGGCCCCCCTTCCAGGAAAGCCTCCACCTGAGCGTCCAAGATAGAGCTCTTCGGCGGGTCATGGAGATTGAACCTCCCGGTATGGCCGAGAGAGGGGAACTTGGTGCCACTCTCGCCAATAGACACAAACACGAACTTGCTCTTCCACCCATGAATGGACGTAGGCAAATCCGTGAAGCTCCTCTTCTTCGGCAGCTGTTGAAGAGTAGCATAAGCCGCACAGTTCTTGTGGCTTCCTCGGCCGATCTGGTACAAATTCATGAATAGGGCCGTTGTCGGCCTGTAGCCCAGCTCCTCGCACCGGAGTAAAAAGCCCACCATCAAGGAATAACTGTTCGGCGTCAGCAAGGCCGGAGGAAGCCCCACCATGTCCAGATACTCAATGATGAAAGGGTGAAGGGGGAACCTCAACCCCTTAGCAAAACTCATCGGGTATACTCCAAAGTATCCCGGTGGCGGAAGTAGAACATGGTCCGTCGGCCTGGGTGCCCTAACCCGCCCGAACGGCCCCACATACATCTGGGCAACAAGATAGTCGGCCGCACTGCTTTCCGGCTTGATCAGGAATATGTTGGTGAGGTCCAGATAGGAGAGGCCCGGCCCATTCTTCGGCCTCCTCACCCTCTTCGGCTTAGCTGCTCCCTTCACGGCAGACACCGGCCTCGGGCACGGAATGACAGCAGAAGTGGACGCCCCGTCCACCACTCGGGACGCACCTACGTCCTCACCCTTTGAAGAGGAGGCGGACTCCTCGTCCTCGCCTTCCTCGTCCACCGGCTCTCCGGATTTGTAGGGACTTAAACGCTCTATCTCCTCTTCGAACTCCTCGAGCACCTCATAGTCGAGTGACCTAGTGGAGGGCTGGTCGTCGTACGGATAGTAGTCTTCGTTCAAGCTCTTCATCATAACAACTACTACGAGCCTAAGGGGAATAACTTAGGATCTAAAGGTGTTCAAACGCCTAACACTAGATCAACAACCTAGGAAGCAAAGTATGAAAAGTGAGGAAGATCGCGATGAACACTAACCTTGAACAACGAAGAACACGAAGAACAGGCTTGGGAGTTTATCTCTCTAGAAAATCGGCCAGCACTTCGACAAATTCAAAATACAAATACGTTTTCTCGTCGGAGGGGGAGGGGTATTTATAGAACCCCCCACCCAACGGTCACTACACGTGGCACCCCCCCAATGGCCACACCAACGGCCACCAATGGGGGGCCACCACGTCATCAACGGGCCAAACTCAATATCAATAGCCCACTGGCAGGACGGACTCTACGGCCTACACACGCTCACTGGCTTTACAAATGTCAGCAAGCGCCCACAACGTCCCACTTCTCGCCAAGATCACAAGTGCCAAACAATAAGATGGCAACGGCCAGGAACGTAACGGCCACAGAACAAAGGGAACAAAGAGCCCACAGCCTTCGGCTCCTCGTAATAACCCTTGATGATAACTCTCTACAAGCGATCTGCGCACAAGGGTTCTCCCACAGGGTTACCTTGGCCAGAAAATCGCCATGAGGGTTGGATTCAGGGGGACTACGGCGAGACCGCTTCGGCCAGGGACTCAAGCAACTCCTTCACCCCTCACACTCTTCGGCCTGAAGCAGTGGGGGACTGGGGGACTACACCGGCCTCAACAAAACAAAAGAGAGTGCAAACAAGGTAACCACAGAGCATGGCCACATCGGCCACACATCACACTGCACCTCGTCGACCGAAGGCACACAACGTCATCTGCAACGGCCAACGGGCCACCAAAGGCAAGGACGCTCATCGTCCTTCGCCATCACTTAATCACAAAGGGCTCTTCGGCCAGAAACATGAAAGCTAATCAACGACGGCCAAAAGGAGTGCGCAAACACCCTCATCGGCCATCCAAAGGGAAAGACGCCATCGTCCTCGAAGCAAGGACCAACTACAGTGGCCTCATCGGCCCAAACACAAACTTCAACCATCAGCGCCCAAGCAAAACGTGCCTTCGACGGCCACCATTGAAAGAAGGACACTCATCGTCCCAAAACGAAGACATCAAGTAAACAACGGCCTCCCTGTCCACAACGAGGAACAGGTAACGGCCAAGGGCAACAAAGCACAGGAATCTACTCTCCTTCACTTCGTCTACGTCTCAGCTTAGAGAGTGGGGGACTCCTGATGGAGTATATGGGTCTGAGCCCCCGGACCCACATACTCGGAAGAACAGGAAGCACAAGACAACAGAGTGGCGCCCTCGTCGGCCAAGACGCCCCCGTCGGCCGAAAAGGGACCAACTCGGATTATGGTCCTGAGTCCAAGGAACCCGGGTGCCCTCGTCGGCCGTGCCCTCGTCGGCCACGCCCCCGTCGGCCAAGAAGACCTCCCAGAATTGGATTTTACACTTACTCATTCGTACAGCCCATTAGTGGCTTTGTATTCGGCCCAGTAGCGGTCCAGTTGTAAATATGTCTCCCAAGCCCAAGGCTTGGGAGCCCAACCCTAATTTTCTCTATAAATACTCCCTTTGGGAGTAGTTATAGGGGTTACAAAATCATTCTATTGAAGCATATTATTGCACTTCTCTCTCTAGCTCTCACTTCTCTCTAGATATACTCTATCAAATAGCATTAAATAAATTATATATATGTATATATATGTGTGTGTATATATACATATGTGTATATATATATACATATGTATATACATACATCTTTATGTATATATATGTATAGGGGTGAGATCACATACAAATCATGCTTAATTTACTAACCTACAAACTCAATAATATGCAACATTTTGAACTTCAATATGCAGTACAAATAATATAAAGATGCACTTTTTAAGCTTCAATGTGCGATACAAATAATGTAAAGATGATTTGAATGAGAGGACTAGTTTGTATGTGATCTCACCCCTGCATATTTATACGAAGTATTATTTTTACTGCATATTGAAGTTCAAAGTGATGCATATTATTGAGTTTGTAGGTTAGTATTTTAAGCATGGTTTGTATTTGATCTCTTATCTATATGTATATATGTATATATGTATATATATATATATATGTGTGTGTGTGTATGTATGTATGTATGTATGTATGTATAAATGTGTGTGTATATATATATATATATATATATATATATATATATATATATATGTGTGTGTGTGTGTGTGTGTGTATTGCTATTAATCAAAAACAATATTGAAGTATATTTTTCCTTCTTAAAACTTCATGGCCGAATTAAGCAAATAATATTTAACTCATGAATTTACTAGTGATATCATAACACATGTACATGCCTATGTTAATGAACTACACTATTATTATTCATAGCTGTCAAATAATTGGTATTATGTGCAAAGACCATTAATTAATATTTAGTTATTTTGTTTATTAATTTAAAACATCCTAACAGAACTTTCAGTATAAACATGATATTGACAGAGAACACTTTATTCATATCTCGTGACTATTGCATGAGTATACCAACAAATTCTTATCAGTTCTCGTGACTAAAGAAAACAAAGAAAATACAGTTTTTTATTTCTTTAATGTTCTGATCATACTCAGAAGTTCTGTGCACCGTTTCGATTTTCAAATATATACTTTCTCCGTGACTACTTGAACGACTCCATAATTTGTTTCTTGTTTGCTCCCATTCTATAATCACTATTCATAGGGAACTAGCTAGTATGGTAACTCTATTATTTATCCGTATTATTCTTTCTTTCTTCTAAGAATAACAGGTCATGACTCTGGTACTTTTGTTTGAGTTAATTTTTATCTGCTACTCCAACTTCCATCTTCCTTAGACTAGTCTGTAATTCCGTATTATTTACGTACTCAGTAATAATAGAGAGTTTCATCAACTTCTCCTATTTGTAAGTGCGCTATAAATCAAAGAGAGTATCCAAATTGAAGATAATGATATACAGAGTACTTTTAAAGGTAAGTATGTACTTATATAATTATTTATTTATTATTTATTTCATAGTAGTTATATAAATAAATATAATCCTGATTTGGATTATCACAGAGTACGTTACTCTCATAATATAGAGAATAATACAGAGTAATAATAATGTTAATTAATACCTGCGGGAGATGGTGATTGTTGAAGATTTTGAGCAAATTCGTGCTGATAACGTGTTGTGAAATGAAGAAGATGAAGACTAAGTTTATGAGATAGATATATAGATAAAAATCTCTGAATTACTTCTTCTTAATATATGAAATTTTCTAAGTTTCTGAGTGAGTTTACAATGAACGGAACAAGCCCTATTTATACTAGTCAAGCTTAGGGATGAATCATCTAGAAATGATTCTACATAATTTGCTGACAGTATTGAATCTAGCCATGTGTGTGATTACAAGGATTTGTGTTTGCTTAGTGTCCTGATTACAAGGATGAACATTCACACTTGTCATTTTGGTGATTTTACAACAATAATGAATAAATTGAAATACTCTTAGGCCTTGTTTGGTTCAAAGGAGAGAAGGGAAGGGGAGAGTCAAGGAGGGAAGCGGAGGGAAGGGGAAGAAAGGTTTTTGATAAAAATTTGTGTGGTTGGAGGAAATAGGAGGAAAGGTTTAATGAAAATATTTTCGCAATTTACCTTTATTTGATAGCTTACTTAAAAAATAGATACATGTCTAACTATTGTGAATATTACTCCTATGGTCATGAGTCATAATTTTAGTTTATTTTTTATTTTTTGATTTTTAATTTGAGTATTGAGGTTCTCCGTGGGCAAACAATTTTCTCGTGACCAAGCAAGCCTTGTTGTAAATGTCTTGATTTGTGTCGGAGTCCCATAGATCCTCTATCGTTGAAAAGGGAGTCCGTTTGTCGTTCTATGAAGCATGACCAAGAAATTCGTCCTCTGAATCAATGCGTTTTATTTTGTTTCTATTAAATTTCTTGTTGTAATGGTTATTACATGTATTTCGCACAACAATTGTTTGCTGTTTAAGCTATTTTTTATAAGCTAAACAACGTAAAATACGACTTGTATATTTAGAAACAAGTCAATTGGGTTTCATGCGAAATCAAAGAAATAAAAAGAAATCAAATTATTATCGACTAAAATGTAATATAGTAGCGAAGAATAGATGTAATTACAGTAGAGTTTGATAGCATGTCGTATCCTCCACATTCGAGAATTGTATTCTCTTAAATAAACAAACTGAGCAAAACCATCCGACCATTTCGTCAGACCCAACATGTTAGGCAAAAAATTAGGCTTCCGTTACCAGCTTTGACTAACATTAATGCCATGTGATTGTTCAGTTCATCCACCATAGACTTAAAATAGCAAAAGTGTGTTGGGTCTGCTTATCCGTCTTGTCAAACCCAATGGGTTGGGCGAGAAAATAGGTATTCTTCCACAAACGCTTGCAACACATCCACAACTTTGACTTGCTCTTCTGTTGCTGTTTAAGCAAGAATTAAACTAATCTAAAATTATAATCAAAGTGAGGGCTCGTGCAAAAGATCAATAGAATGAAATCTGAATGATAAGAATTTTATATAATCCGATCGATATTTGTGTATGAATACAATAGCAAAAGAATGATCTGATTAGCCTTCATCCTCCTATTTATTCTAACGTTTTATCCCTTGGACTCCAGCCCAACTGTCCAGCGAATGAGCCCCTCTTCCTACTCATGCGGAGGTTGTTATTTTCTCCTCTTCTCCCGCACGCAGTTAGGAGTTCGTTTCTACAACTTATCTTTCCATGTTTGCTTGGCCTTATCCGCTCAGTCTGCTTCTTTGTTTAACTAGGCTTCGGTTCTATCTTCGATTCTTTGGGCTTTATCATTTATCTTTTATCAGAAATGGACCGAACCGCTACTGTATCTCCACGCCCCAATAATTGCCCCCAATTCAAAGAAGAGGAGGGCGCCAATCTTGAAAAATTAAAGAGCCAGCCGATTCTTTGAATTTTTTCATCATGACATTGCCTCGGAATGTGTAAGGCCGTCAGCCGTTCGGTATCAATCAATCACTACTCTCTTCTTCCCTTAGTGCATTAGTTCAGCAAGAAAAACTTCCTCTCCTCTCCTTTCGATTTCTTGCAAATCCAGCCAGCGCCTTGGTTCTTCATGGCTTCACAATCCTTCATTCCGCAACACATTTTAGATCCAAAGAACTCAAAGCAAGCGAAACTTTCAGAATATCATGTCGACTTTATCAGGTCATCTATCGGCTTTCCCCATGATGCGGTTATTCGTTTTCCAGCAACGAACGAGAGGATAGATTGGTTCTGTGATGGTTGGGTAAACTTCTTGATGTACCCTTTCAAGATAGGTATGAAATTCCCATTCTCACGTCTAGTCCGAGACTTTCTTGCTTTTGTCAGAGTATCGCCTTCCCAAATCATGCCCCAAGTATGGAGGGTACTCAGAGCTTTAGAGGTCTTGAGTGAGAAACATAGTTTGGCCCTAGATTTTGAAGACTTGGGTTTCACCTACGACCTCAGATCTTCAGGAGCCGGTCGCTTTACCTTAGCAGTGAAGGAAGGAAAAGAGGCCCTCATTCATAAAGTGGACAAAGCTAATGACCGGGGATGGATGAACTTGTACTTTTTTGTGAATAAAGAGTCGTTAGGTGCTGACGGATCATTCCTGGAAGAGAATTTACACAAAGGTTAGTTTCTCTTTCGAATCGCGTTTCTTGACTTGCTCGGTTGATTTCCGTCTCCTATTTTTGTTATCTGATTTGCAACTTCGGGTGTAGGTAATGGAACCGAGTAATTTCAGAATGTTTTCTGCGTTCTCGGATATATGTATAAAACTTGATGTATTTGGCATTGTTTCTCTGTGACGTGCAGAGAGGAAGACTATTCCACTGGTTCCCGGTCTGCATTCTGAAGAGAGAAATGCCAGGATTCTTTCGTTCCCTATTGAGGATCGAACTTACGTGAACCTGGTGTCAGACTTTCAAGGTACGTCGCCTCTTCCTGTTGAGTCTGATTATGTGGAGTTAAGGCGGTCTCGTAGGCACACCCCTACCGCACACGATTTGAATCAGAATTCACATGTCGTTTCCGTAGAAGATTCAGGGCAAGGATATGAAGTTTCCAAAGATGATGGCGAGGGTATGAGCGCTTTCGTCCCTTTACAAGTTGTTTTTCCGATTGTTAAGAATACTCCCGTGCCCCCACTCAAGGATTCTACTCCTATTGCAGGTACTATCTGAGGTTTATGCCATTCTTTATTAGTGTTGGATCGATTATCCCTAACTTCTATTCCTCTTTATTTGTGTAGCTACTTCATCAAGCACTTCTCGTTCTGTCCCTTCTGACCACGAGTTGTTGGCTATGGCATCGAGGAGGAAAAGGATGCCCTCTAAATTGTCAGCAAATCCTCCAAAGGTTCCCAAGTACCCGACGCCTGATACTGCCACAGCCCCTAATGCCCCCCATGAGGAACATAAGGTTGATACCTGGGCGAAGCCACCACAAGTTATGCACTTATCACTTTCCCCGGAATTCTGTGAATTGAAAGACGCTTTGACCATGAAAGACGAAACGGCTCAATTTCAAATGGCCTCCTCTGCTCCCTTTTTTGACTGCTTGCCCCCTACCGGTGTTATTGCTGCTTCCTCCGCTTATGCGTTTCAGGTGCTGATGAATCACCACGCTTAGTGAGCTTCCTTCCTTTTACTCTTGACTAACTTGTCTTGTCTTTTTCAGAGTGTTCAAGCGAGCCTTGTTGCTGCTGCTCGTGTCTCTTTATTAGAGAGAACCGTTGATGAACTGAAACAGTAGGAGATTTCCCTAGCATCTTCACTTGATAAGAGTGCAAAGTTAGTTCGAGAATTGGAAGACAAAAGCTCTACTCAATCTGCCCAGATACTGCAGCTCAACGCCAGAGTCAAATCCTTGGAAGCTTATGGACGAAAAAGAAACAAGAAGTAATTGACGCCGCCTGCTATTATGTCTGGAAGACCAGGGGTGAGTTGATGACATCTTTTATTAAAGGAGAAATGACACACCGGTCAGCGGAACGGGACGTAGCTACATGGCATAAACTGAGGGAAGAGATGGATCCTCCTGTAGGAGAAGACGGCTTCGAGGTGGGTCATTCTGACGATGAGATTGATCCTTAGTGTTTACCGGTCAGATGATCATGCATACCCCTTTTTTGTAAGTCTGCTGGATTACAAACATTCCCTGCTTTTGAATTACTCTGACACTTTTCGACTTGCGTTAAGGGTTCTCGGTGGTTCATTCGGGACTTAACGCCTTATTGCGCTACTCATGGGCTTCACGCTTGGCGGTTCAGCCTAGCCCTGTCCACACCATTATGTGAATCTGTCACTGTTTTTGCTATTGCTTGGATCATACTTTTGTTTATGCGTATTCTGTTGTGTATGCATGTCTGCTGTTTATGTGTGCAACATGTCATGCTGTGTCATAAATGTGTGTGTGTTTCGGCCAAAACGTATTTGGTTTCATGGAACTTCATTTATGGTTTTTTCATAATGAGTACCATGTCCCCTGTATGTTGATGTTTTGTCATAAGCAGATCTGACGTTGTATCTGTTGTTCTAGTACTCGGTCACCTGGTACTTCGATCTTAACCTGTCATAGTCCTGCGATGATACCGTACCGTTGGGATCGGCCGTTGGCTTGGGGCCAACGGCCCTCCGACGGTTAAGTTAGTGAACGGTGAATTGTTTTTACCATATCCAAGATTACGTGAACTATAACTAATTACCTGTAACTTGACCATTTTTGTTTGCCTTCCTGTATTTGCAATCATTGTCAGGGTTGGTCGTTGGCCTTAAGCCAACGGCCCTCCGACGGCTAAGTTAGCTATTTCATTTAGTAATAGGGATAGAAATCCAGAAAAGAAAAGGAACTTTAATTAAAAATGAAAACGTTTTAAATGTACCACATTCCAACTTTGAGGGACTCGTTTACCATCGATTGATTCCAAGCGGTATGCTCCCTGACCAATGACGTCAATGATTTTGTAAGGTCCTTCCCAATTAGGACTAAATTTCCCGGCTGCTTCATTGCCAAACGCTCTCCTCAAGACCCAATCTCCCCTTTTGAACACCTTGGCCCGGACATTTTTATTATAGCTTCTCGCAACCATTTGTTGATATGTCTGCAAGCGGATCTTGGCTCGTTCACGGATCTCGTCAATGGTATCCAAGTCGTGCGCCAACTCCACAATGTTCAACTCCCCAGTCATGAGTCCATATCTTGAAGAAGGTACTTCAATCTCAGCAGGAATGACCGCTTCGCAGCCATACACCAAAGAAAATGGGGTCTGTCCGGTTGCATTTTTCGGAGTTGTCCTGTCTGCCCAGAGTATCAAGGGCAATTCGTCAGCCCACCGGCCTTGCGCCTTTTCAAGCCTCTTCTTTAAGTTGGCAATGATAATTTTGTTGCTAGACTCGGCCTGCCCGTTAGATTGCGGGTACCTAGGTGTCGACGTTTCCAATTTGATATTGTAAATCTCACAAAAACGTCTGGTCTTAGTGCTTATAAACTGAGATCCGTTGTCACAAACGATTTCTGAAGGAACGCCGAATCTGCAAAGGATGTTTCTCTTAATAAACGAAATTACCTGGTCATCCCGTATCTGACGAAAAGCCTCAGCCTCCACCCATTTTGAAAAATAATCCGTCATTGCCAGCATATATACTTTCTGCCCCGGCGCTTCCGGCAATTTTCCTACAATATCCATCCCCCATTTCATAAAGGGCCACGGTGATAGAACTGGATGAAGCGACTCGGAGGGCTGATGACGAATTGGTCCGTGCATCTGACAAGGCTTGCATCTTTGGGTGAAAGTGGTTGCATCTTCTCTCATGGTTGGCCAGTAATATCCGAATCTAAGAGCTTTGTTAGACAGACTTCGCCCTGCTGCGTGATTGCCACACTCCCCTTCATGAAGGTTTTTCAATACTTTGGCGGCTTCTTACGGTGTCAGACATCTTTGAAATGGACCTGCGACGGATCTTTTAAATAGCACACCATCAATCAGTAGAAACTTACTTACCTTGGATAGGAAAGCCTTGGCCTCTTTCTTGTCTTCTGGGAGTATTGTGCTTTAAGTACGCTATGTATTGTTGTGTCCAGTCGTCTTGTGCTGGGGTTTTAATGGTAGAGGCGACCTCTGATCTGTAAATTGCTGGGCTCATCAAGTGCACATAAGGGATGTTGCGATTGATTTCTGCCCCCAGACATGATCCGACGGCGGCCAGAGCGTCAGCTTATGTGTTTTCTTCACGTGGGACTTGTTCAAGGGTTATCTCGTCAAATGCCGTTATCAATTCTCGGACTATTTGCAAATAAGATGTCATCTTGGGGTCCTTTGCTGCATACACACCGTTAGTTTGATTAATTATCAGTAAAGAATCACATTTTACCTCCAAGATTTTGATGCCCAAGTCCTTTGCCAATGTGAGTCCGACGATTAACGCCTCGTATTCTGCCTCGTTGTTCGTAGCGGTGAAATCGTAGTGTACTGCTTGGAGCATGGTGTCCCTTTGTGGTTACTTCAGTACCACGCCCAGACCTGCGCCGTTCTGGTTTGATGCTCCGTCAGTGTGCAATGTCCATTTTTGCTTTGGCAATCCGTCGATCAGAGTGCAAGTCTCTTTTTCTGCTTCCTCTTGGAGCTTTGGGCTGAAGTCTGCCACAAAATCTGCAAGTGACTGTGATTTCAAGGCTGTTCTCGGTTCGAACCTTATGTCATAAGCTTCAAGTTGAATCGACCATTTAGCCATGCGACCTGTCAATTATGGTTTCCTCATGATTGACTTCATGGGATAGTTAGTTCTAACACAAATGGTATGTGATTCAAAATAAGGACGTAATTTAATTGAAGCAATGATCAAGGCTAAAACTAACTTTTCTAGTAAAGCATACCTGGATTCCGGGCCATTTAAGGATTTACTTACGTAATAGACTGGAGTTTGCTGCCCCTGCTCCTCTTTTGTCAGTACTGCACTGACGGCGTGCTCTGAAATGGCCAGATAAAGTTGCAGCTCTTCATCATTTTTGGGTTTTGCGAGCAATGGTGGCGACATCATATATTCTTTTAATTGTTGAAGCGCTTGTTCGTGTCGATCTGTCCACTCGAATTTTTTGTTTTTCCTCAAGACGTCATAAAACAAATGGCACCTGTCTGATGATTTTGAAATGAAACGATTCAAAGCCGCAATTCGTCCTGTCAACCTCTGGATATCTTTGACGGATTTTGGAGATTCAATGTCAATAATTGCTCGTATTTGTTCCGGGCTTGCCTCTATTCCTCGTTCACTGACGATATATCCTAAAAATTCTCCTGACGTCACTCCAAAAGTACATTTCGCTGGATTGATCTTCAGGTTGTACTTCTTCAGTCTTCTGAAGGGTTCCGTCAGATGATGGATATGATCCTCTTTTTTCTTTGATTTGACGATCATGTCGTCGATATAAACTTCCATGGTGTCCCCCATCAGATCTTTGAACATTAAGGTGACTAGTCTCTGAAACGTCGCACCTGCATTTTTTTAGTCCAAAAGGCATAACAATATAACAATACGTACCTGTTTCGGTGACGAAGGCTGTGCTTTCTTGGTCATCGGGGTGAAGCTGTATTTGATGATATCCACTGAACGCGTCCATGAAGGATAACATTTCATGCCCTGCCGTAGCGTCAGCCAAAGCGTCAATGTGTGGCATCAGAAATGAGTCTTTGGGACACGCTTTGTTCAGGTCAGTGAAATCCACACAGACTCTCCATTTGATTGGCTTGCCTTCTTCCCGCCCTTTCTTTTTCTGAACAACAACAACATTAGCTAACCAATCGGGATACTTTACCTCCTTTACCTTACCGGTTCGAAGTAGTGTATCAACTTCCTGGTTTATAATGGCATTCCTTTCTTTTGCAAAGCGTCTTCTTTTTTGTCTGACGGGTTTGTGTAATGGGCTGACGTTTAACCTGTGAGTTATGATATTAGGATCAATACCTGTCATGTCGTCGTGACTCCATGCAAACACGTCCTTATGTTCTTTGAGGAAGCTTATCAATTCGTCTTTGAGGTGCTTTGGCATGTCTTTCCCGATGCGGATGACCCTTTCTGGATGTTCCGGGTCGATGGCGACTTCTTCTGTTTTGGCGTCATCTTCCACCAGAGCGGGGCCACCCTTTAATTGCTATGCGATCTTGGAGGCAGTTTGGTCCGCAGTCGGCTTCATCGCCGTTTGGTAGCAAGATTTGGCTGACTGTTGATCCCCCCTGATGCTTTGCACTCCCCACGGCGTTGGGAACTTGATTATTTGATGATAAGTCGACGGAATTGCCCCCATTTGATGCAACCAGGGAGTTCCCAAGATCATGTTGTATGCTGGTAGGCTTTCGACTACGTCGAATTTGACCTGCATGTTTAAACCATGTGTATATACGGGTAACGAAATATTACCTACGGTTCTGCTCGGCTCTCCATTGAATCCGACCAAGCTTGACCCGGACCCTGTTATATCTTCCTCCTTGGCCCCCAGTTCTTTCAACATTTTCATGGTGGTAATATTCGCGGTGCTTCCGTTGTCCACGAGGACTCGTTTGACTTCGCAGTTTGCCACTCTAAGGGAGACCACCAACGTATCTTGATGAGATTGTATCGGATCAGAAATGTCCGTTTCATCAAATGTGATTGACGCATTTCTCCATTCCTCTTGACGTTTTCCGATCCTATAAACCTGCAACGACTTGTCTCGGGTGTAATCCCGAGCGTGTCTCTTTGCTGCAGAATACGTTAGTCCGTATAAATCAGATCCACCATTAATAAAGTTGATTACCTTACATGGTGCAGAGGGTGAAGGCGGCCTAGATTCACTTGGTGACGCTTTATAATTCCGTCCTAACAGTGATTTGGTGCGTTCAGACATGATATCCGTCAGATAACCGTTTTTCAGCAAATAGGCCACCTCCTTTCTTAATGCGACGCAATCTTCCGTGTTGTGTCCGATATCGCTGTGGAAATCACAGCGTTTATTCGGGTCGCGACGGCCCGCTGGTTTGTCCGTCTTTCGAGGCCATCTGACCTTTTCCCCTAATTTTTCCAGAGAGTGAATGAGGCCCGGAGTGGTAACATTGAAACAGTAGTCAGTGATGACAGGTGGCAAGTCTGGATCGTCGAGCCAATTTACTATCGACGATACCGGCCTATCATCGGTTCTGACATAGGGTTTTCCGGTTCTGTAATCGTATTTTCTGGATGTGCCCGATTTACGTTGCCCCCCGTCATATGCATCATGTCGATGTCGTGTCTGTTGATCTTCTTCTAGTCTGATGAAGGCCAAGGTTTTAGCCTGGACGTCTTCAAAGGTCCTGCACGGGTACTTTGTCAATTCCCGGTATAATTCTGAATCGTCGGATAAGCCTCTCCGAAACGCTTCAACTGTTGTCGGGATATCGCACCGTGGAATGGAAACTTTTTCTTTGTTAAAGCGGTGTAGGTAGTCTCGTAACGATTCGCCTCGTCGCTGTATGACTCTATAAAGGTCGCTAGTCTGCTTTTCAAGTACTCGACTACTCGCGAACTGATG